CCCTAAACCCTAAACCCTACAAGTGGACGTCCTCCCCGAACTTCCATCGACTTCGGGCTGCCGCGTCGACCACCTGCCGAAGCTCCGCACAGGGCCAGGCGCCCACGGGGTCCGCCTGTTTGGGTCTGTAGGGTTTAGGGTTTAGGGTTTAGGATTTAGGGTTTAGGGTTTAGGGTCTAAAATTTAGAGTTTAGGGTTTAGGGCCGGGTTTAAAGTTTAGGGCTGCCTCTTGCTGAGTTTAGGGCGTGGTGGTTTTGGCAGGGCTTGATTTTGGGGTATCGTTTGGCTTTCGGAGTTTAGGGCATACGGCCTCCCGGGCTTTGGGGCACTTGCAAGGCTTTCAGACTTCCCCCTAGTCCCTAAACCCAACCCTCAATGCTAACCCTAACCCCTAACCCTAAATCCTAAACCCTAAACCCTAAACCTAAACCCTAAACCCTAACCCTAAACCCTAAACCCTAACCCTACACCCAACACAAAACTCCGTCAGAAGCTTTTGATCAGATGTCGGAGCTTCGACGCCGTTGAGAGGGGCATTGGATCTGAGCTTGGGGTTTCGTTTTACGGTTTAGGGTTTATAGGGTTTAGGGTTTAAGCCTTTAGGGTTTAGGGTTCCTTCGAGGGCTCCTTTTACGGGTTTCCCGGTGCACTTTAAGGGTTCCTTGAAGGGTTCTGTCGAGGGCTTGGGTAGTAAACCCTAAACCCTAAATCCCCTAAACCCTAAACCCTAAATCCTAAACCCTAAACCAGTAGCTTAGGGTCGCAGGCTTTCGGATTTAGTGCTTAGGCTTCGCAGGGTTTAGGACTTTGGGTTCAGGCTTTGGGCTCAGGGCTGTGTAACCTGAAGTTCCCGCCTAAGCCCTACACACACACACACACTATCTGTATATATGTATATATATATATATATATACATATCATGTTTAAATAATTAATGTATGAATGCATGAGCTTCTCGCCTTGGCAATGCAGGGCTGAGGATGTCACTTCGTTCGGATGTTTCGGGAGCTTTGATTTTTGGCTCAGGCTTTGTCAGGGCCGTTGAACTTGGGGACCCAAAGCCCAAGCAGTGGTTGACCTTTGAGTTGTTTGTAAAGGATTTGGGGTTTAGGATTTGGCTGTTTAATATTGGGGCCTTAAGAATGAGAATAGGGTTTTAGGGTAAAGTATACTATGAATATAGTCGGGAACCTGCAAAATAGCATGGGTAGTTCTTGAGGCCCCTGTAGTAGGGCCCCCATCCCCCCAATCCTGTTGCCTGGCTAACATCCAAAGCGTCCTGAAGCTGATGTAGGAGGACGACGAGCTCGGTCATCTGGCCCTGAAGCGGTCTTCTTTAAGGGAACTCTACGGGCTTCTTGAAGGCTACTATAAGGGCTACTAGAACGGTTTCTGTGAGAGATCTAGAGGCTTGATCTTTTGGGGGGTCTGTGCAGGGTTGGTTGCTTTTTTTTAAGCGCCTCTGTTCCAGCTGCGTGAGGTGGCGTGCTAGAGTCATCCCCGTTGGGGAAACGAGGGACGGCCTCATTCAGCCATCACAGCTGAAGTGAGTTTGGGCTCGGGAGTATTCGAGGCTTTAGGGCTTGGCGGGCTGTTTGTCGGCTGCCTTTTGCCAGGCGCGTCTCTTCCAAGGCTTGCTTAGGAAAGAGCAACAAGGTGGGGATGCCTTGAGACAAAGCCGATTTCCCAAATCCAACAGCCCAGCAAACCATACCAGCTGTAAGTCCCGTTGACCTCATGCCTCCACACCGCCAAGTCTCTGTCTCTCCCCCTAGGCTACTACGTACTGGCCACATGTTTTGCCAGCATGCCGTGTGTCTGTTTGCTTCTCTGTCACAGAACTCCACCGGACCTTGCCTGCACCATTAGTGCACGAAGCGGACACGACTTACGTGCCTGGTGCTCGTGCGCCCTCGCGATCATCTGGCGCTTGATGCTCTCGACAACCTCACATCGAACTTGTTCTTGGGTTGCACCCTCGAGTGTTGCAATGCTCGCTAGTAGCAATTGATAGTGCCGGGTCGGGTTCTCGTCCACACTTTCTGCAACTATATCAATCCTAAATTCGCTTTGGTTGACCCATCCTTTCACCAACGTGACACACAAAAACAGATCCAGGAGTCACTACCAATAAGCTTCCAGGCACAGAGGAAGCGCTGAGAAGATCCGATTCCACCCTATAAACCCTGAACCTTTCAAGACCCTCAATCCTCAACTCCAAACCCCACGCCGTGGTCATGGCCAAAGCTGAAAGCTGAGGTTTTGGTGCCCTCCCTATAGTCTCTGTTGTAGCTTCACCCAATTTTTAATGAGGATCCCATAAGGTAACCCCCATAAAAGAAACTGCAATGGAGACTTTAGGTAATGTCTTCGGAGGTTCTGCCCACAAGGCCTCCAACCCTGCACCCTAAACCCCAAAAGCCCCAAACTTACCCCAAAACCCAAATCCCACAAACCTCTCAACCTCAAACCCTGAATCCTAAACCTTGAACCCTGAACCATTATAAACCCTAAACCCTAAACCCTAAACTCTAAACCCTAAACCCTAAAAGCTAAACTCTAAACCCTAAACCCTAAACCCATAAATCATGGAAACCCTGGAGCCCCTAAACCCTAAACTTCCCAGAGATTCCAAAATCCTTCAATTAAGGAATATACCTTAAACAATCATAGGAATCCTAATATGATTTAAGGTATATTCCTTAATTCAGGGTTTTTTTAGTCTCTGGGTTCCTGAACCTATACTTGCCTGAAGCCAGATGCCGTCCTCATTCGAGCCCACTTGTTGAACCAGGTGCTCTGCGTACGTCAGAGCCTGCATTCGTGGAGCCTAGCACTTATAAGCTTTCTCCCAACATTTTGGGATTCTATCTTCTAAGCAGGGCTTGCTCTAACTGCACATTCTACTTTCTGCTTAGTATTTCTGCAGGGTTTAGGGTTTAAGGTTTAGGGTTCAGGGCTTAAGGCTTGGGATTTCATTACGGACTTTTTGGCTGGGCTCTTCGGTCTGGCAACTCGGGTTTGAGGGTTGAGGGGTGCTGGTTGGGGTGTGAAGCCTGGGGTTTGCCTGCGCCAAGACAAAGGTGGTTTAGGGTTTAGGGTTTAGGAAAGCAGCCTGCGTCAGATGTAGGTGTTTGCACAACAGGAAAAGATTTAGAAGCCAGGAGCAAGTTTACCCTGGACCCTACAACTTCATCAGCGCGTCGCAGCTGCGAAAAGAGGTGCCCCGTCAACATCGCAAGTGTTACACTACCAGAATCGAACGAGCTCTAAATCAACGATCCTGACTTTCTGATACAGAAAAGCTAACCCGCTTCAGTTGCGACCTTTGGGTGATGCGCCGGCATTGGGGTGCACGGCTTTGAACAAGGTGGCTACAGGCTTCACCCTACACCCTGTACCCGAACCCCTGCACCCCGCCACCTCCCTGAACCTGACCCCTTCTACCCCTAAAGCGACTCAGAAGCCTGGCGCCAAAAGACTAAAAATCCCAAACTCTTCCCCTCAAAGCACTGAGATCAAAACCCCAAGAACTCTAAAACCCTAAACCCTAAACCCTAAAACCCTAAACCCTAAACCGAGGATCTCGACATGTTTACATCTGATCTCGCCAAGCTGCGCAGAGACCCCGATGGTTCTGATGGCAGAGTTGCGGCAAGCTGAATCCTCGGCTCTGCTTCAATGTTGCCAACAGCATAAGGCTTCGGTAGGAGGTTTAGGGTTTTGGGTTTAGGGTTTAGGGTTTAGGGTTGAGGGTTAGCAGTAGGTGAGCTATTCTTGCTCCTGCTACCACTGATGCTTCTAATGCTACTACCACATCCACGCAACGCTTATCGTAAAGTAGGACCCCTGTCGCAACCCTAAGCCCTTAATAGCCCTAAACCCTAAACTAAAGCATATACCACAGCCCGAAGAACTTCACCCAGGCGCGCTCGGCAAGTGCCATGCAAAGCAGTGCTTCGCTTCGCGGCTTCGAAGCGGCTGCATCCTCAACGGTTTAGGGCTTAGGGCGTGTAGGGTTAAGGGTCTCGGGTTTAGGGCCTACCTAGAAACCTCCCAAGGTAGGGTCAAAGAATGGCCCAACGCTCACTAAAAAGGCTATGTTTCACTCGCTTCACGGCGTCTGCTAGACATCAGTCTCTGAAACTCTGATGGCACATGGCCAGGGTTTCGAGAGCCGTTGTTTTTTTGTGAGCATGGTTTAGGGTTAGGGCTTATGGGGTTTAGGGTGCGCCTGTCTGCAGTTGCTTTGAGCCCTCAAGTCCTGCAGTGGCGAGATCTGCAGAAGATGCTGCAAAAAAGTGCAGCCGCCAAAGAGGGTCACATCCCACATGCTCGGGCACACCTGCCCAGGAGGTTATTGAGCAGGATCGGCTCCATGAAGCAATGGGAAACAGCAGGGGTTCTGCCAGTTTTGAAACTGTAAAACCCTAAGGAAACATTGTGATTTGCAGCCATGGTCCCGCAGATGCTGGAATTCAGGGGGCTACCTTAAACTCCCAGCAGTTCCCCATAATTCAATGTTTAACAAATCGCTTCTGGACCGCGGACATCGCCCAGAAGCTGCAGATTAGCCAGAGCTGCAGTTGGTCTGGGTGCTAGCCAGAAAGCAAGTCAATCAACCCCAACAGTGAACCACAATGGAGAGACAAGGCATATGCTCCTTGGTTCAACCTCCCTAAGCCCTAAATCCTAGCCCTAAACACTAAAAATCCCAAGACCTAAAAGCTTAAGTAGAAAAAAGAGCTGAAATGCCAACGGTTTAGGGTTGAGGGTAGCTGAACCCTCAGCCCCAAGACCCTCAAATCCTGGCCTTATACCGTTCCAGCAAGGCCAGGGCGACTTCCGCATGCGACCTCCGCCGAAGGCACGGAAGTTGGTAGGGACTTTTCCAAAGGCCTCCGAAACTTCAACACCCTAACGGGCGATCTTATGGGGCTTCATATGGCTTTACAGAATTACTACAAAAAACTTGATACGATTCTCTGTGCGATATATTCAACACTTCAACACAGGAAACCCTAAGTTTTGGGTTCTTGGTCCTGCAGATATCGGCTGTGTGCATTATATAGGAGGTACGGGGTTAGGGTATAGGACACGCAAACCCCCTTAGACCCTGACACCGGAAACCATAGACCAAGCTTTAACAACCCTAAATAGAAAACCTTAAAAAAACCCTGATTATGCCGCTCAACGCTAGAACCCTAGACAAAGCCTGAAATTTAAACCTTTTACACTGAACCGAACCCTCAAACCACCTCCAACCCCAGCCCCCAAAAATCAAGCTCTGAGGGGCCTAATATGGGGCCTTACTAGATCGAAATACTATAACTAGAATAAGGAACCCTAAGGTATAATATTTGTAATTGTAGTCATTTAGGCTTCTATAATTACCCTCAACCCTTCAAGCCCTAAAGCTCTACAGTCCTGAACCCGAAAGCCCTACGAGCTAGGGCCGGCGAAGAAGCCACGCTTCAACCTGAAGACCGAAACTCTAAATCCGGGTTTCAGGTTTAGGGTTAACGGTTTAAGGTGTAGGGTTAACGGTTCAGGGTTCAGGGTACATCCTAGGCCAAAGCCTGAACCTTAGTAATTCCTTGTTGGGTTCGGCTACCCACAGACTATAAAATGTTTTCCAACTACGGCAAAGTAAACTTCACTTACGCCCTGAACCCTAAGCCCTGAGCCCTAGCCCCTAACCCCTAAGCCCTACACCAAACCCCAAGCTTTAAATTCCCACCCGGCCCCCTGGGGCCGTTCCCACCCATGACTTTACACCCGCACTGGGCCAAACAATGGGTGGAGCCT